TCTATAAAGTCTAATTACAGCTAAAAAAGAAAAGATTGACTAGAGTTAGTGAAAAATAATAGCATTATTATACTGAAAAAAATAAGAAAGAAAATCCACAAGCATTTCAGTGGTTATTGTAAAAGATTAACTCTGTGTACCGTTGCCAGGACAAGTACAGGTTGAACACCCTTAGCCCAAAAATCTGAAATAAAAAATGCTCCAAAATATTAAATTTTTTGAACATTAATATGACAGAACAAGTTAAAAATTCCACATGACTTGGTCTTTTGTGATAAGTCTCAATCAGAATGAAAGTCTACCAAAAATACTGTATAAAATAATATTAAGCCTAAATGTGTAAGGGCTATATAAAACATAAGTGAATTTTGTGCTTGGTGCTGACTCCTATCACTAAAAGGTTTCACTATAAACAGAAAAAAAATCTCCAAATCTGGAACAATTCAAAATCCAGAACACTTTTGGTCCTAAACATTTTGGATAAGGGATATTCAACCTGTACTATACTACTTTTATTTTGGTTTAATTTAGGCCTTGATTTTATAAGAGGCATATATCAATAATGCATTAACAGAAATTATCACTGGTAAAAGGACAGGGACTATTTTTTCTCCTTTAGATTTTGAGATTAATAGTCAATAAAAGATTAATATCTAGGCTACTGTAACCTTGTTTTGGTGATAGAATGGCAGGTGATATGAACATCACCAAGCTTAATTTCAAGTAGTTAGATGGTATTTATTGATTGATTGATTTTGCTCTTCATGTTATTATAAGACAGGAATTTATTATATAAGGAAGTCTTGGCTGAAACTAGAGTATACTTATTTTATTGTGAGCAACTGGAGAGACTGGGGCCATTCTATCGATGCATAATCTCTTCATTTGAGGTTAGCTAGTAGATCCCATTATGGCTTTATGTTGTAAAAGTTAGGTGCTGAAACAAATGAAACTACTCTGTTTTTATGTCCACACATACTTTTAGAAAAAATTCTACCACAGAACTAGGAAAGACATGAAGAGGGCCAGGACTGGTGAAATTTGTAATTACCATTTAAAGAAAGATTTGTTTATCACTGTCTCTTATATAAGCCTTTGCCCTTCTAATTTGCATTTTGACTATATCTGATTATTCATGTGTTAGTTAAAAGGGAAAGTAATTTCATTACTGGTAAAATATGACTGTGGTCATCTGTGATTCTTAGGGTGATGTTTTAACTTGATTGGCTTTAGGATCTACTGAGAGATTGGTGGAGCACATTTCTGAGTGTCTGGGTGAGTCAAGGAGGCCTGGCCTAGAGTCTATGTCTGGTTCCTCCTACCTTCTGCTCTGGCACTGTTTCCCAGCTTGCTTTCCACCTGCCATAAACTAAACAGTTTTGCTCCCCCATGTCCTTCAGAAACATCTGACCATGGATTGAAACCGTGAGCCAAATTACACCTCTTCTCCTTTAAGTTGTGGATGGCAGTTATTCTAACCAGCTACGAGAAACCTAATCTATAAGGTATCTTTATTGTGGGTAATATGGTCTTGCAGCATGGCAGAGCAGAAAGAGCATGAAATTAGAAATGCCAGTGTCTGAGTTTGAAAACCAGCTTGGCTACTTTCTAGGATCATGATCCATCATATGCCCTCTTCCCTGAGATCTTCTTAGGGTGACCAGAGGTTATACTTGTCAATGTAACACAAGAAACTCTTTACTTTCTATTCTTGCTGCCTCCAACAAAAATACTCCTTAGGCCTGGATGGTTTTCTCTTATAGTGTGATCTTAGCTCCAAAGTCATTCTTTTTAAGGGGTTCTTGCATCACTGTAGCTAAAGTTCCTCTGTCATATCTCTAAATCTTTTGTCCTACTATTGATATTATTCATTTGCATTCTGCATTGTTGTATAAAATCTAAAATCATCCTATTCATTCAATTGCTTAACCTCTCCCTCTACATTAATAGCTTTATGAATTCCATGAAGTCCATTACAGAGATGTCTTATTTCACTCCAGTACCTACAAAGTGGCCTGGATAAATTATAGATAGGCCAGATTGAAAAGAAGAAATGAGCTCATACAAATGTACAGTGACACACACATACTTGCACACACACACATGCACAACCCATTGGAGACATCTTCATTGACCATTCTTTGAAGCTAAATTTGAATTCAGTACCAAAAAGCTCTTTAGCAACTCTGATGATACATAGATCTTCTCAATGGCTAGTACTTCTGTGAAAATGGAAGCAGCCCCATAAAAAATGGGATTTTTAGCATTTGTAAATTCCAAAAGATGGATTTACTCTGACCTGGACTCATTTTGCTTAGGAAACTTAATTTAGTAGTTATTTTGGCTGCCGCGAAGGAGTCCGACTTCTTCTATTTAACAAATTAATGTCCAGGAAAATGTAACTTTGATATATCGATAGGGGATGTCTTCCTTAGATTGAAATTCAAGATGTTAGAAGTATTTTGCCTCTACAACTGTTGGGAAAAGGAGCACATTGATTCTCTAGGGGAACTGAAGCGTAATGAAATGCAATCTAAGAACATGCAAACTTATTATCTACCAGGGTGGTTGAATGGTTCCAATCAAATGGAGGATAGAAATTGGGTTTTATATTCGTATTTTTGAAAGAAAAAAAACCCTCCATAATTATGTTTAGGTGCAACAGTGCCTGCAAATGCTTGAAATTGTGGCAGTCTTTACCTTGCTCATAACATAATGAGTACATTTGCTCTTTGAGAGATACTATGGAGGTTAGGAGAATAGTTCCCTAAAACTGTTCCTGCAAAGGCAGGACCTGTTTTCCTGGAGATGGTAAGCGAAAGGCTGCTCCTTTCCCAGAAATAGGTGGGCATTGTCTTTTAAATTGGCTTTTCAGAGGGCTCACTTGTGCCAACGACCACTTAGTGTAGGTAGACTCTGTGACTGTAAGAAAGCCAAATTTTCTGTATTTATTCCACTCCTAGAAATTGCTAATAAGGGGATATTTGCCTTTCCATATCTCCGAGGATAGAAGTCCTGGTACCAGAAAGATGACATTTTTAGAAACAATAATCTGATATCACTTGTTTAAAACTTCTTAAGAATTGCCCATTTTAAGGTTAAAAATAAAAATCTATAATGTGGGCTATGCCTTGTAAGAGCTGTCCCTGGTCAATCATTCAGCTTGTTTTGGGGGACTTTGCATATACTTCTCTGCCTGCCTGAAACACAGCTTCCTTCATCTTCCTCTGTCTAGCTACATTCTACTAATCACTCAGATCCAGCCCAAAATGTCAATACCTAGAGCAATCATCCCTGACCTCTTAGGCTAAATCAAGCTCCTTTATTCTATACTCTTGTAATTCTCTGAAGCTTATCTTTGTAGTTAATATTAAATGGAACAGATTATTAGGGTAGAGGCTATGTTTCTCTGGCCCATCACTAAATTCCCCGGGCACATAGGAGGCGTTCAATGAATATATAACACCAGAATGAATGAATATAACTGGGTTATACAGTCTACGTTACACAAATTTTCTAAATACTTTGTATGCTAAAAACATAACCAAAGGGGGGAAAAATCAGGTTTTGAATTTTATTTCAAGTTAAATGAAATGGATAGATGAAGATAAATGTTACGTAGATTTTATAATCATATAGGCTTAGGTTCAAAAACCCGATTCTACTACTTACTAGTTGCATAATCATGGAAAACTTACTTAAAATTTCTCTGTATTACAGCTTCATTATGTATAAAAATAGGTCAGACCTAGGTTTGAAGACCTGATATGCAAGTTATTAATTGTGTAACTTGGCTTAAATTAGTGATCTCTGTAAGCTTTAAGCTCCTTCACTACAAAATGAGGCTGGTAATATCTGTCAATTTCTAGTAACTATTAGGAGGACTAAATGAATATATACATTTATATATAATGAAATATAGTAGTTTATGAACATATGAGAATGCATAATCCATGTCAGCAACCCAATAAGATCAAACTGAAACAATACCATGGAATTATTTTATATCAGAATGACAGAGATAAAGCACTGGCTAGTACATGCTATTGGTGACGATGCAGAGGGAGCCATTCGTATGGAGCGCTGGTAGGTTTGCAAAATGGTGAAATACCTTTAACTCTACCAAAATTCACAATGCACACACTATTTGACCTAGAAATTTCTCTTCTGTAGCTTCATCTTGTGGACCTATACATATTTCTAAAGGTGTATGCACAAGGATGGTAGTGTGGCAGTGTGATAACAAAATACTAGAAATAAACAAACAAAATTTATCTAGGGCCAGTTAAAAAAGTAACAGAATTATATGGTCATTAAAATGTACTGATATTGGAAAATACCTCCCAGATATATTATTTGATAGAAGAATGTATAAAGCAATGTGAATTGTGTTCTTTTAAAAATCACCACTATTTGACCTAGCCATCCCTCTGCTGGGTATCTTTCCAAAAGAATTAAAAGAATCATATCACAGTGATATATGTGCACCTATGTTTATAGTGGCACAATTTGTAATAGCTAAAACTTGGAAACAGCCCATTTGCCCATCAGTTGGAGACTGGATAAAGAAGATGTGGTTTTTCTATAAAATGGAATATTACTAAGCCATAAAGAATGAGAAATTAGAGTAATTCATAGGAAAATGGATGCATATTGAGGATATACTCCTAAGTGAAACAAATAAGTCACATATGTATAATTACCAAATAGTTTCTCTGGTGTGAAAAACTAAAATGGTATGTAAGGTCCTAATGATATAATTGACATTGTGAAATAGGAAGAAAAGGGCTAAAGGTGTAGGGGAAAATGGGAAGGGTAGGGGAAAAGTAATGAGGGAAAATTAAAAAAAAATGAGAAAATGAAAAAATTGGAAATAAAGTATTTGTAAATAGGAAGGGAGGAGGGGGTGAAGGGAGGGCAGGGATAAGGGGGAAAAAATGAGAACCAAGACCACCTGTCATGTAAAAGTACAAGATCCCAATGATGAATGTAACTGTACTGTATACCTAAAAAGTACCAATAAACTCAATGGGGAAAAAATAAATAAAAACAATCACCACTTATACAAGCATCCATCCAAGTGCTTGAAGAAGTAAAGCTCTAGTTGCCTTGTGGGAGAGGAAGGAAGTACCTGGGGAGAGATTTATTTTTCATTGTCTTCACTGTGTACACTGTGTGTGTTTGAATATTTTAGGTTACAAAATTGCTATGTGCCTTTATGAAATCAATATGAATTTCAAAACACAAAGAATATGAATTAAAATTTCTGGCTACTGCTACCATGATTGCTTTTTCCCATTATTATTAGCCTTAAATCTGAACTGCCCTAGAGGTCCCTGGCTGCTCCAACATAAACACAAAGGACAGTAGAAGGTCAGAGTAGTCACTGTGGGATGACTGAAAAACTGGGAGAACATACCTAACCATAGGTGCCAGGAGGGAGGCAGAGGAGCAGGGAATTCTGGGAGAGAGGCTGATCCAGCAAATGAGAAGTGGTGGGACATTTTCCTATCCTAAGAAGTAAGCAAAACCAACCTTACAAGAAAAGTCATTGAACTTCAATTTATCGAATCCCCATAATTATCTCAAAAACAGGTACTATCTCCACTTAAGAGATGAACAAAGAGTTGAGTGGCCAGTGTAGGGTTATACACTAGCCAAAGGCAAAGCCAGTATTAGGGTTGAAGAGTCTTAGCCACAACTTTCAGCATGTCTGTTATACTATGTAGTACTTAGGAATTGTAGTGCTGTTTTTGATTTGGTGATAGGCTCCTGGTACCCTTGCTCACATCAACACTTTTTACAAGAAGTGCAGTTCCACTCTGTGCCAATGATTGCATCTGAAACTGTGCTCGGTGATTTCTGCAAGAGTCTATTCCATTTTTGGTTACCCCAGTTTTCCTGTTTCCCCTGGAGAACAGGCTGCTTAGTGGGCCCATATTTGTGAGTCTCTTATAGTCTTTAATGCTTTTATTCAGAAAGGACAGCTCCGGGGAGAAACACATCTCCAGGGCTTCAGCCTGAGAGCTATAAGGGACAGTAACATGATTTTATCTTAAGGTCTACTCTTAATTTGCAGATTAGTGCAGTCAGAAAATTACCAAAAGCTGTCATGTCTGTCTGTTCCAAGTGGAAATGTTTTGGGCAGTTCCTTTGATGCTGATAGAGAAAGTAAGGGTGTAATGCATATTTAGCCAATTGCAGGTATTGTACAGTTTTGAAAATTCTTGAGGGAACAATTTTTTGCCTCCATTCTAGGATCTGCTGAAGTCTAGAGACTTTGGAAAGGGTTTAGGTAGTAATGAACTAATGTGTCTAACTAGGGACAGTCAGCACATGGCTATTTTTGTTCTAAAATTATATTTTAATAAGGATAGTTAAAGACTTGAGATATTTTTCAATAATTCCACTGCAATGTAATGGTTAAACTTAGGAGCTCTGTGAGTTTGACTTGTATTTAAGACTTTTTTTTTTACAATCTATATATAGGTTGGTCTTTAATAACCATTTATACATTGCTTCTTTTTATATAGGTCATGTATTCTCCAGGGAGAGTAACAAGATTAGAAATAACAAATACAGAGCAGAATAAATTGAAATGCTTCAAACTACATTATATAATTTCAGAAAATTGGTTTCACACTGAAACATTTAAATAAGAAAACCAAATGATTTAAGTTTTAAAAATCCTATGTGTTTGAATTGCCATCGTTTAGCACATTTTATCCTCAGTAGTGTAGTAATGGTATCTTTTCATAGAGCTCCAGTAATGTGACAGTTCATTTGTGTCAATATGGATACAATTATTATTACTATTATTATTATTATTCTTGTTATTTTTTATTGCTGATTACTTTAAAAAGTTAGTTTCATTTTCAGTAAAGATGTCATGTTTATGAAAAAGTCAAAGAACTAGCATAAAAGTAATTGTACTTTTATATATAATTCTCCATGCTCCTGTATATGAATATTCTTATTACTGTGTTGCAATAAATTCAGAGGCTGTTAAGGTACAGGAGATGGCAAAATTGGGGGTAATGCTTTTCTAAATACTTATGACAATAAAAAGTGGGCTTGGTTTTTCTTTCACAATGAAATGAAGAAGATCCGATGCTCTAGAGAATCTACTATTCCAGTTAGCTTTGTCTGTTTCTGTGAAGTTTAGCATTACTTTCCTTGGACCAAGTCCTCAGGCCTTTTTCAGTTTTTCTATGCGTGCATTAAAGCCCTCTTCCTGTATTTGCAGCTTTTCGTTTATCTCGATCTGTGAAGACAATTTTAAAAAAGTGGTTATGATGGAGCTATCTTTTGCTGCACATTGTCTTTGTGGTTTTGACATACTATAGTGCCTAAAGACAGACATTATCCCTCACACACCTTCCTGTTTTGCAGACATAGCCATGTTTCAGCCTGTAGTGATGTGATAACACTTTATCATATTTCTCTGCACATTCCCAATGTATAGCATGTCTACTATGAACAGGAAGTGGTATTTGGACAGCCATTTTTCACATAGCCATGTGTTAGAAGATAGGATAATTTATCTGCACTTTCTTTCAGACAGACTTTACCAATAAGCACCGAATCAGAATAACTGCTTTGGGCTGGTTATTGCAATGTTGTTGGTCCCCCTACCCCTTTGCAATGGATGTTTTTGTCTTCTGAGTAATACATTCTAAATGGGATCTCAGAAAGCTTCTGTTGTGAAATAACACAACTAATCTCACAATCAGAACAATTCTCATAATTAAGAGTATTCATCATACATTATAATTCTTGGAATGATGCCACTTGGTGGTATATTTTTGGTAGAAAAATGTAAGCAATTGCTGACAGGTTTTAGTGATTGCTAAAGCTGTGATAGCATTTAGCCCCTGGTAATGATATTATGTGGACTAACACTACTACCTGCACAATTCCAGAAATATTCACACATTATCTAAACATTAGCAGCATTGGAAATGTCTGACTTTTATTATGGTGGATAATACAATTATGTTCAGAGAAATGTTTGCTATGTTGGTTGATGTAGCAAAAAACTTTATTTTTCTTGTTGTGGTTATTGTATTTGGGGTGATTTTAAAATGCCTATGAGATTGTGAAGGGTAGTTTATGCACATATGTATTAATATATTCTAAGTTGATTATATATATATAACATAATTATATATATATATATAACATAATTTTAGGTCTTCAAGGTAGTTGTATTTTGAGAAAATTTATTATTTAATTTAGATATCAGCAATCTGAGAAATCAATATGGTTTTAGGACCAGATTTACTCATTCATTCATTCACTCATTCACTCGAGTGAACTATAATAGTTTAGAAATGTTCACCCTAATTATCTTTTTCTGATGAGATTCTGTTTTGCCGACAGAGTAAGGACTGATATTTAGGACAAGATCACACTGTTGTCAGCAATTCTGGGTTCAGAATGCACACGAGTACCAAATGTTTGTTTGTTTGTATTTTGGTTTAATTTTTTTAATGTGATGGGACCAATTTTTGGCTTCTAGTATTATTCCTATCTTTTCCTTTCTTGGTGGTTGAATGAAGATTGCAAGGAGAAATAAAATGATCCTCCAATTTACAAAGGAAATTTGCTTTCAGGATGATTAATTTCCTCTTGAATGATTTTGGTACCGTTAAATGGAACACTGGTCTATGGGTGGGGAGATCCATGTAGTACTTTAGTTGTGTTGTCTTGGGCAAGTCATTCAATGACTCTTATCTGAAAAATTCATAGGAGAATAAAATTGTGTTTACATTATTCACTAGCTTTAAATTTATGATATACTTCACTGATTACATACTTCATTGATCTGTTGCCATGAAATATTTCAAAACATTTTTACTCTTGTTTCATTAAAATAAATATATGGCACACAACGTATTAGATAATATGGATTGAAATGGTTTGAAGAAATAATCTTGTCATGATTCCCAAGGATTGGAAGAGTAGCTCTATCCAAACAAATGACTCTTTGTACTTTCATTACTGTTTTGTGCCCACTGTGACCTCAGTGCTTTTCACCTGAGTACTGATGGATCATCATCTGCAACTGTTGTTTCACTACCTCACAAGGGTTTGTTTCATATTGACCTGGAGACCTTTCTGGTATTTCACTGAAACAGAGTTTATTGAAATAAGTGTGGCCTCAAGGAAAACCTTCATGAATGCAAGGTGCATCTAATAGACAGTGGTATCTACAGAAGAGTCACCTTTCAGATCTCCACATCATGGGGATCAGTACTTCAGTTCAAGTACAACCAAGACAGCCTAGATCAAAAGGTTTCATGTGTGGTCCAGAAGAGCCTATCATTGGTCTGCTAGTGTCACCCTGTTAACCTTGAAAATACTGCTGATTAGAAAAACGATTTTACAACCATTGGAGCTGGAGCTAATTCTACCTTTTACCTGAATTTAATAGCTTTTCACTGACCACTAACTTGAGGTGCTCTTCAACTTTTCTAACACTTAAAATTCAAAGTAAAGATACCTCTAGTCCAAAGAAGGCAAATTTCTCTGAGTTTTCATGTTTTTACTCCAGCAGCCAACATTTAATGCAAGAATTTAGTGTTAGTGTTCATATTTCTCTGAAATGTAATTCTTTAACTATATTATAGTTTGCTCCACTGGGTGTAATTTTTATTATACAACTCAGGGCCAAAATAATTTCATTTTGAACGTATTTTTAAAATTAAAATACCTAAACTATAGCTTAAAATGTTTGTTCTACTTAGTGTAATTTTAATTAACAGCTGAGGGCCAAGATAACTTCATTCTTAATAATCTCTAAAACTATAAAATGAGTTAATTGGAAAATAAATTAATTAGTCTAAAAATTTAAAGATTCACACTACAATTTCAGAACTGTCTGCATTATACAAGATGATACATTCTTGTAACCACACTAGTGAAGTAACTCTAAAAAATGTGTAAAATATGAATTCTCTGCTGCCTCTTTCAGAAAAATTGTAATAATAGTGTGAATTTTAAATGAAGAAGAAGAAAAAACTGGGAGAATTTAAACCATCTTATAAGTAATAGCTCACTAAATGTTTGTACAGCACATTTGTTTGGAGGGCATATCCACATGCAGCTACCTTTGAAAAGTGATGTGGGTGTTTTTAGATCTAGGAACACTGAAAGTCAGATTTTAGAAGTGGAAAATAACTTATCCATCTGAAACAGGAGGAGAAATTCAGGTAAGTGAAGAGTAATTACTCAACTTGGAATATGACCAAAACACAAGGGCAAATACAGAGAATGTATCACCCCATAAGTATGTTAAAATCCAAAGTAGTCTCCTGGTGGAATTATTAGACATGATGTGGTTTTTGGGGATAACACTGGAATTAGAACTGGAACCCTTTTCCTAGCTCCCAGTCAGGGCTTTTCATCAGTTGCTGACCCTGGAAACTCTAGACAAATGACTTAATCTTTATGAGTTTCATTTTTCAATTGCTCGGGGGTGCGCCCTCCACATGGAGTTTACTAGTATTATTGAAAGAAAATACATAAAAGGGCTGCCTTACTCAGGACTGTATAAATCCACATCATCTTGCTATTTCATTGAAAAATGGGCAGTAATTTTGTTGAGGCTGATATCCACAGATCCACTTAATATGGAAATGATTGTGGCATCAAAAGGACCTGCATCTCTCTCCTCTGGTTCAAGTTCTTTCGGTGCCTAATTACATTTAGGTAAGCAAGCTAATGAACTTCCAAGATGGCTTTAGGCCAGTGGGAAGATAGTGTGCACATACAATAATCATATTCTCTCTGCTATAGAGTAAAGGTATAAATGCTACAGACTCTAATATTAAAAAAAATTAGTGAATAGTTAAAAGCATACTGTTCACTACATGGAATATGACCTTGGTAAAGATGTTTTCAATTTTGGGGGCCTGCAAACAATTCTATTGCTGTGTAGTAGTTCCTCAGCAATAATTTCAGAGCAGCAGGATTGCAAAGGAGCCCAGGGCCATGATTATACATAAACTATATTTAGATGAAATGTTATCAAATCTAAAAAGGAGATATGTTCTGAACTCAGCTTAATTCAACTGCACTTTGCCCTTCCATAAAGTAACCAGTTATTACATTCATGGGGTTGTTAACAATAAAGCTTTGTGTAAAACGTGTTCTTCTACTTTTTTCTGGTAAACACTAAACACCCCTTATTAAGCTGAGGACGTTGGCTGATTTTGTTGGCACCAAATCATTAAGTGTTCATGTAAATAATGCAATAACATTGGATGATTAAACAAGCACCAAGGTATATTTATGCCAAGGTAATCTGTTGCTCTTTCTAATTTAGTTATTAATATAGTATGCTTTTTCTATAAGGTGTCATGTTCAGATCACAACTAAATCTTTTGAGATGCACTGGTATTTTAAATATGTGCTATGTTGGCCTACTGATTTATGGTTATTTCTAGGAAATTGCAAAATTGTTAAAAAATACAGTCCACTTATTAAATGTTTTGGCCTGAAAGATTATGTGAATTCCTGTAAGTCTTTGTGTTAAGGTAGAAATATTTGTTTGTTTGGAGAGAATATGAAAGAACTATATAAAGCTGAGCCTGGAGATAGATTACTGGCTGCTGCTACTGAAATACCAGTTGCCACGACCATTTTCAAGCTGCCATTGATGTAAATTATTTAGCTATTGGTGACATGTGAAAAGGAACAAACAGAGGAATTTTAAGGACTCCATTATTTTTAGAAATTTGGTGGGAAGACATAGTTAGTAATTATGATTCTTTAGAAATGTACACCATTTATCCCTACATAGGCAATGTTTCTGGGGCTAGAAGGCACAAACTATTTACCACCTTGGTGTTTTGTTTTGTTTTTGTTTTTGTTTTGGTACTGGGGATCAAACTAGGGCCCTTGCGCTTTCGAGGCAGGCCACGAAACCACTGAGCTAAATCCCTGGCCCGCCTTTTCCATCTTGAATGTCTGGTCTTTGATGTTAAATGGTTTTGCAAACTGATTCACATATACCATGTCAGATCCTGTTGGTAAATCTATTTTGTGATCTCTCTGCACCTCAGATGACTCTGTGTGGGCCTGTTAAATTTAACCTCTTCAGCAGGAGTATTTCTTGCTTGCACAGTGTTGGAGATGAATACAGACACGAAAGCTAGGATTTACTAATTACCCAATAATAAAGTGAGCAAACTATCAATACTGAGTACCTGAATGTCTGTTAAAATGTCATCTGTGACTTGAGCCAGCACGGACTTTACATCTTCAATAGTGAAGCCAACTAAAGGATCCATGTCCGAAGTGTCAGTTTCTGGCTGGAACTCCTTATGGCCTTGTTCTTGATCCACCCCCTAAAACATTAAATGTAAACAACATTCAAGTAATTTGTGGAGCATCCAGTATTAATATGTAAGCTCAAAACTCTATTGGACATTATACCAAGAAAGATGTCAGTCCAGGAGATTTTGATTTGCTGTTGCCCTGCACAGTATTTTTATTCTTTTTGTGGGGGTGGGTACTGGGGATTGAACTTGGGTCCTTGCTCTTGCAAGGCAGGCCACCGAACCATTGAGCTAAATCCACAGCCACAGTATTTTTATTCTTTATGGGGATTGTAACAGACAAAGTCATGGTACCAAGGCAGTGCTTACTTGTGGGAAACTGAAAGTAGAGATTAGGAAATATGGGATGGAAGAGTTTAAAGCTGCTGAACTACAGTCAGCTGGCCCATTTTGAAATCAATGCTAAAATAAATATTTACATCTGTTTGGGAAAACTCAGAGGCAAAGAAAATGGAAGAACATTTGGTTCTTTCCTTCCCACCCCTAAGAATATAATCCCTAGGCTGGGTCAATGAAAATACAAAAGAAACCTTACCTTCATTTCTTTATCTAATGTTGGCGGTGGCTCAATGAATTTTGAATAAATATCAAATGAGATTCCTTCTTCCAGAGGACTTGGAAAAGGGCCTCCTGCAGGATTGACAATCTCTATTACTTGCTGGAAAATAAAAAAAGAGATAAATTATGACAACCTTCAGTAAGTAACCACAATTTCAGCTACTTGCCTTGTATACGTACCATATTTCCAAACATGGTATATTTTGTGTGCCATCTCCACCTCATTCTTGATGCTATTGATCTCCTGGTTATCCAGCGCTTTCTGATGTCCGTAAGTCACTATTTGCATTTTATTTTCCTATATTCTTGTCTTAATCTCTTTCTATACTCTTTGGTTTAGTATTTCATTTGTACTTTGTTTCATGCCTCAGTCTTTTACTCAGGCCTACAAGCTCTCTCTAGGCGGAGAACTGAGCTTTAAAAACCCTGCATTTTTTTTTTCTCCAGCTCTGGCAGATGGTCATATTTTGTGACGGTCTGGTGGTGATGGATGCCACTCAGCAGAATGCAGCTGTTATTGTGAGCAGTAATAAAGTGGCCATCAAGAACTTAGTGATGAGGACAATGAAAGCCCTGAAGATTAATATGTACAGCCTGTTCACTGCAGATCAGATAGATTTCAGAAAACACAGAGGGCAGGGCAAGACTTCACCATGAGCAGTTGACAACTCTTTAGCAAGAGAACATCAATCAGAGGAAGGGTGATAGTCAATATTGGAAGTGAAGAAAAAAGACAGTGAAGCCAACTTTGGCAGTGCCCATCCTACCATAATTTGGGGGAGGCAGAGAAAGCAGAGATGAGAGTACTAATAGCATTAAACATCTGAATCATTTAATTAGTTCCTCTTGTTCTAATTCCATGGTTAACAAGCAACATTTTGACCATAATTTAATTTCCCATCTCAATTGATCTGTAAAGACATGCCCACTTGCATGTTCTGGCTTTTATGCCTTTTACATTCCTCACCATAAATCAATAAATTGTTCCAGTTTTTATAGTAAATTCTCATAAGCTTACAATTGTAGTTTAGAAATGAAATTGTTCTCTGTTTTCTGAGAAAGTCAGACCTTTACAAGCTTGGAGACTAAATGCTAGTTATGCAGAAGTTCATTGAAAAAAGGACCATCTGATATAAAGCATAGAGAAAAATAATGAAATAATCATACATTGGATTATAATTACTCCACAATATTTCACATAAACTTACATTACATTCCACTATTTACATATTAATGTACCTTGATTGAGATATTTTTTTAATTGAGATATGTTTTGAAACATACTGGAAGCTAAGTTGTTTCTTGTTCTGACCAGTATGTTATGCATTTTGCATTGAATTTGTATTAATGATTTAGCTTGAGTTTACAGGAAGTTGTTGCCTAGTATAAATATATAGACTATCCTAACTTTAAAGGCAAGGAGACTTGGAACCCAAATGATTCCTCAGTGACAGAACTAGAAGTTAAATCCTGATGTGCTCACTTCTTGTCCTATGTAGTTTTCAGTAAACTTGAATATGTCAACAAGTTGCCACACTTGGAATCTATCGCTCTTATTAAGCACTTTCTTATTCTGTTAGATGACATCATTCCAGCTTGTTTATTTCAAGTTGACTAAATGTTCATCAGAACAGAACATTGAGAAAACACATCGGAACAGTTCTTTTCATGCACCACATTCAGAAGGCCCTTTTCAAAGGTAGGTTATACAAGCATTTGCATCTTCTCACAAAATTAATTGTACCTTATTCTACTACTCTTGGATCTGTATCCACCCACATCTTTTATTGCTATTTATTTTCCTAAGCTTGGAAAGGAAGACAGTTAAACATATGTGGCTTGTAGGAGTCAGAGAGAAGGGAAAGCGATGAAGTATTTACTTAGTGGTACAGACTTTAATATTTGGTGAAAAACAAGGTTTAGGGTACAGGGAGAGTGAGGGAGACACTGAAAAGAACAAAAGAATTGGAGTTTACTGAATTTATTTCAGGTACTGAGAAAGTAAGCATGAGTTGATTTGCAAGGTAAAAGTCTTTTCTTTTAATGAAGCAGAATTATATCGTGTGTACTGTCACCATATCTGTCTCACTGCTGTGCTTTTCTATACACAGGACAGACCTTCTTGCTAATTTGCCCTCACCCCCTAGTGCAGTTTTCAATAGACAGCTTCTCCACTTTGGTAATAACAGATTCTACCATCCGCCCTCTTGTGCCCTTTTCCCCATCAGATCATGCACTTAAATGCAAACAGATATTTGTGTTCAAGTCTCTTATTTCATCCCTCACACCCCTGTGGTCTGCATTCCTTCATACGGTTCATCTGAATTGCTCACCAACTACCCAATTTCCTGGTCTTTGGCACTACAGTATGTGTGTGTTTGTGTGTGTGTGTGTCTACTGGATGCACACTTGGAAACTTGGAACTTTCTGCTTTAACATCGCCATTTGTTTTAGTAGAGTGAAGCTCCTATTTATTCCAAAAGCTGGAGTTCTGGCCTTTTTTCTCCTTTTTATGAGTATAGCTAGTATAACTATTTTGTTTTTAAGAGTAGGAAAAATTTATTGAGGAAAAGAAAGCTTCTGTCTAAGTGAGACAGAAGGGGGACCAGAAAGTGGGTTGCCCTCTCACTCCAATTTTCAAAGATATTTTATACAGCAAAGCCATGTGGTAAGGTGGGTACAAAGTAGGACAGAACTGTAAGACTCAATGGAAAATTACAAGGTGGGCATGAGGTGGGGCAAAACCATGGCCAATCAATAAGATTACAGGTACAGTCACCCAGGTAATATTGATTATGTGGGGCTCAAATGGGGGAGCAAGTCACATAGCAAGGGCACAAGGATTTTCAGTAAGGGTGGGTGTCAGTGATATTTCCTGGAAAGGCTGGTCTAAGACCTTGGTCCCCCACCCAGGTGATTGAAACCTGTTTAGAATATCAATCACTGCTGTTATCCCCAGGGGAAGCACAAAGGTATAATAGTTTCTCTCCTTTTACTGGCCTTCAATGAATGTGTCTTAATTATCCTCCTTGTTGGCTCCTTTCTGTGTTGGCTTCTTGAGGGCGGCCCTGTCTAACTACCTACAAGATATCTAATTAACTTACCTATCTGCAATATTTCCCCCTCTGAAAATGTACCCTTAACTGCTGTGAGGGGGCAAAGGGTGAAGACAGCTCTCTGGCTACTTCCAGCTGAAGAGGGTCAAAGTTGTGATCAGCAGTTAGAGTTACTCTCAGAGGGTCTATCTAAGGGCCTTGGATAGGCACCAAGCATTGTCATCTTGCAGCTGCATAGCTTTTAAGTCTGGAGGAGACAAAGCTAAAAAAACTAAGAATGTATGGGCCAAATTATAAGGTCAGCAGGATTGCTATGAATATAGCCCATGAAGAGGATGAGGAGAAGGTCCAGGGGACTTCAGAATCCAACACAGAAGTCCTATTATATAGTTTAGCAGTTATGAGCTGTTTACAAGGTCGATCTGGTGGATCCCCGTAAAAGAAGTCTAGCACATTTGTCATTGGTTCCATTTGTATGACTGCTTGGAGTTTGGCAGCCTCTGGGCCAGAATAAATAAAACTTTTTAACAAATTAGAGTATGCATAATCTAAGCATGAGCACATTAGAATGAAAGGGACACTTAGAAAGTCACACTTAGAAATTGAAATAGTGATTGAACCTGCTGGTCTTAGACTCTTATGGATAGAGGTTATTAAATACTTTCTCACAAAACTCTCTAGTTTTAGCTCTAAGATAAGAGACAATTTGAAGAATAAATTTTGCTAATAAAAACACTAGCTGAGCTCATATAGATTTTACCGTAGTTTTTTCCTAATGATCCATTACTGTGGTCAGCTACTGGTAGAGCTGGAAACTGCCAGAGGGGTCAGTGACTAAAGCCCCCCTACCTTTTTTTCCTCATGGAGTGTATTGGTACATTCTAGGTATACAGTACAGTTACATTCATCATTGGGATCTTGTACCTTTACGTGACAGGTCTTGGTTCTCATTTTTTCCCATTGTCCCTGCCCTCCCTTCACCCTCTTCTTTCCCCCCTCTTTAGAAACACTTCATTTCCATTTTTTCATTTTCTCATGGAGCCCCTTTTTATATCTAGCTTTATTATGATGGCATTATTTTATACCTCTTTTGGTTATTCTTTTCTACTGGGTGTTTAAGACCAAGTTAAAGTGAGACTTCTGTCAATAAACATGAATCTCTTGCTGTCTATAAAGATCAGTTAAGTCTCTTCAGGCAGTATTTTGGAACCATGCGTAGAGCCTCTTAGCTCCTCTGTCAGTGTCAGCCATCAGGATGGGTCACAGCCTTGCTTGACCATGTTGCTTTCAGTGAAAGCATGGGAGACTTTTCCCTCATAGTGACCCTCCTTTGGCACACAGTATTATTTGTGCTCTGGCATCCAGCAGTCTCCCTGCTCAGGAGGCTGAGTGACTTACCAAAGATGTAGGATCCTGTAGGAAAGGTTCCTTAAGTCCTGAGTCTTGTAGACCTTGAGGGGCCAGGGCCCAAATATTGGCTGTCCTCATAGCCCAGCTGCCTTTTCAGTTTTTGGTCTCCAAACTTTAGTTGTTGAACACCCAGAAGAGAAGATCAGTGACAGTAGTGTAGTAGGAACAGTGAGCTTAATTATTATAATTTTGTTTGGACGTTAAGCACTTTGAAATATAAAGCATAGTTAGGGGGCTGTTATTTCTCATCAACCATGGTTGTTTTAGTAGTTTAATCCCTGCAGAATGTTAATTGACAACAGTTATATATTACAGAAACTTAAGATCAAGAGCCACATGGGCCAGGGGATTTAGCTCAGTGGTACTGCTGCCTGCCTCACAAGCACAAGGCCCAGAGTTGAGTGCCCCCTGTACCAAAATTAAAATAAGAAAGAGAGAGAGAGAGAGAGAGAGAGAGAGAGCCACATGTAGTATTTTAGCATGAAGTCATGATACATTTTCTTTTTAACAATGTCCATCTTAGTATGGAATAATCTTTCAAACAACTCCATCTTATCATAAGACATTAAATGACATAATGAAAACTCCATTAATTTGACTTAATTTGTGCACAAAAAGAGGGGGGTGAGAATTT